TCTGATGACGCTAAGCACGGTCCCGCTGTTGCATCAGACAACAAATACTAGAAAATGATGACTGTACTTTGATTAAAACGAATTCCTAATTACTGACTCAGAAAAGGACTCAAATTACAAGCAAAGTTCTGAAAATTGGAAGAAACAGGAAGATATTCAGGAAGTTATCTTTCATCAATTTGTTGCTTAAATCTATGGAGAAAAATAATAATCTGAAATTCTGTTATCTTGGTATTTGCAGCTGGACAGAGGTCTTCAGTGGCAAGTGCAGCCGAAAATAAAAGCTTTGATTTAAGGATTTGATTACTTTTGGATTCCTAAGTTTAAGTAGCAGATTTTTCAAAATCAGTACTTTCCTTCATTATGCCTAACAGACTGTTGAATTGCTCCTCTTAGAATATGGGATAGGCTTATTTATAGACTCAGAAATAGAATACGTCATTACCGCTACAGTCCTGTACAGAGTTCTTTCTGGAGCAGATAGAGTTTTGTGAAGAAAACCAAAACAAAAACAAAACAAAAAGAAAAAAAGCCCCGTTAATAACTTCCTTTTGGGGATTATAGTAGCAACTATGAAATACTGCTCTTGGTGAATATAAGCCAGTCTTTTAAAAAGGACAGTGGCCTTCTCCATCTTGTCCCTTTCCCAGCAAATGTATGCTGAGATAGCCTAACACATGCTCAAAGCTACAGCAATACATTTGTTCTGTATTGATGCTCATTAGTCAGAAGAAGAGATGAAGATGAATAAGTGTATTGCCTTTTTCAGAAATCTTTTAGCACATGAAAAAACAAAGACCTATACACAGTTAATTTGTACACTGCTGCATAAGCATCATCTCCTTCCACAGTGCATAATGCACCTTTGGAGCAACCTGCATGCCGTTAAAAATCCTGGGAACTCTGGGATCCGTGTCAGCTGTGTCACACATAGATCTGTGAGCAGCTCCACGCCGCATGCCCTCTTCTGGAGATCCCTCCACGGAGGAATCTATATCCATAGCGCATTTTATTAGCTGGTTTGCTATGAGTTTGGCACTTTCTTGCCATGGGCCTTTCAGGGAGGTCCCTCGTATTTTTCATGCCGAACTTGAAAGCTTAAAATCTCGTGTTTCTCTTGTCTTAGGTCAGTCATACAAACGGCGTCATCACCGCGGAGGAGTGACGCAGTCCCTGGATAGCTGCATAAGGGCCCTGCTGAAAATAATGGTGGTACCTTGGCATGTGGAAGGAGGGGAAAGTGGGGCCACTACCTTGCATGGAGCTGGCAATAGCTGAAGGGGTAAGAGGCATTCCCAAGCGGCTGTATGGAGGCAGAGATCCTTGGATGGGATGAGGAATGGGCGTAGCTATGGACGCAGTGCTGGTACCCAGGGCGCTCAAAGACTGCGGATGCTGAAATCCAGGAAAACTGGTTGAGGAGGATACCCAGGAACTGAGGGATAGGTTATCGGATGTTGTAAAAGCTGATCCTGCAAGCAAAGAGAAAAAATGCCTCACATATGCACTGCCACACACAAAGATTTTCAAACAGCAAAAAGCAAGAAGTCTTTTACAATAAGGCTGATTTTTATGACAAGTCACCAGTGCAAATACTTCCCAAATACATTTATCTCCTTACATCATCTTTTTTCTTCTTTTTTTTTTTACGTTATTATTTGCCAGTTGCTTTCTTTTATCCCTGTATCTTAGACAAATTTATTCTTTAAGATACTGGTTGCAGTGGCTTGACCAGCTTTGCATGCTGATGTTACATAGTAAAATCACTGTATAGTTTCGTTCTAAAAAATTGTCAGTTTGTGAATAGATGCATAAATTCCACCTCAGTGCATTACATCCCATTTTTGATGGCAGGCTTGTAGATTTTTACATAAAATTTTCAGTAGAATTGAATAAGTTTTTCTAAAATGAAATTTTGTCAAAAAGGTTAAAAATGTCATTTGTAACGCAAGGGCTTGCTTTTTTTTTTTTCCCTGTAGAATCCTGGTAGCACTCCATCTTCTCACGGAAATAAGTTTTTCCAAAATTTAAAATACAAAACCTCTAAAATGCCAGAACACTGTCATTTTTTCATCTGTGTACAGTACTCTCATAAACAACAGTAATAATGAACCATAGTAAGAAATACTGTTTTTTAAGTGAAATATACTGAAATATGAGAAACATGCCCCCAAGTTAAATATGTACTCAATCTAATCAGGGGCTGCTTTGGTAGCATTTTTAATTGGAGAAGTTACAAAAATTCCTCTTTCACAGATCTTCCATTATTTAAAATACATTTTCTCTGAAGACTTCAGAATTAGGGAAAAAAAAGCAAAAAGGTTTTACTTAAATAATTAGTAATAATTTATTTTATTTTGACAGTATGCTTTTGGGAAAACTAATGAATAATTTGTTTTAATAATTATACATGGCCATTTTCAAATAATCTGATGCAGATGCTGCCTGCAGTTCTTCTATGCATCTGCTTACCAAAAGATTTCTGATTTTTAGGCGTAATGACTACTTTATTTTTAGCATAATTAAATAACAAGTCATGTCCCATCTCTATTTTCTTTCTTGCCCTACCATTTCCATTGCGAAAAATATTTCTTGCTTTAGGGAACAAATTTACTTGCAGCAGTATCTGTCAAAGTATAATTTTAAGACAATATTTTAAAATATTCACAATGACATTTGTAATTATCATTAGAGGTACTAATTTCATAGATCTAATTTGAGAAGATAGATTCATCCAACCTGAGAAATCAAAGCATATCCAAACACCTATATGTGAAGGAAGACTTATCAGAATGATGTGTTAATTAACTACAACCAGCTTCTCAAAACAAAACAACAAGCAAATAACAATAGAAACAGAAATACAAATTGTGACAAAAAAAATTATACATGTCTTCAGGGAGAGATTCTTCAAAACAGAAAGTGATGAAGGCTAGTTCCTCCTCTGCTTAATGATCTAAGTGAAATGCCTTAGTAACAGAAAGTAGAAATGGAGTCAGTTCAGCAGTAGATAAGGACTTGAGCAAAATTCTGACCCTACTCCTGAACCAAATCTGGCTGCTGGCAAATTAGGATAGAGAGCCAAACTGTAAGAATATTATCACACTAGTGGCAAAATCTTTTACAAATCCAGAAATATCTGACTATTATAGCACTATAAGGAAAGCTGGATGCAAACCTGGATTTGTCTACAAGTTTTCATTTGGCTCAATTACTTACAGGAGTTTTAAATTAATATATATATTTCCTACTTTTAATCCCCTTGGAAGCAGACTTCCTGTGATAGATACCCTACTGGAGGCTAGCCAGTCCTATCTTTAGGTGGCTGAAAATGGCTGAGTTGAGAACACCCTGGATGGATGTTGAAGTATTTAGAAATAATTAGCAGTGATAAACTCTCTTTGTCTACACAGAGGTCAGGTGCCTTGCTCTGAGCATGCTTGGCAAGGGGAAATTTGACATTGTCTCCAACAATAACTGGCCAAGGATCTAAGATGATGTGAAGTAATCCTCCAGAAGTGTTTGAAAAAGTGGCATTGTACCAGCTAAGGAGTTGCTCCAGAAACTCTACAGGTTAAGGAATTAGTCTCAAAATAGGCATGTATGAACAAGTCCAACTAATCACACTTTTTTGAAAACCAACTCATGGTTAAAAATAAGTGTGTTTTCCCTGCACGGGTCCAAAGAGCTTATGACCAGAAATAATGCTCTTATCTTAGCCACGCTGCATGAAGCTAGAGGACAAGACAAGGGCACTGCCAGTCGGAAGGCAGATAGAACTGTTTTACCTCAAGTGGCTGTTGCATATCAGACAGGTCATGAAGTCACCACGCACAGTATAGTGCAACACAAGTTCATGCTAGTCGGCGATCCCACAGGATGGGATCTTCCCACTGGCAAATTATGGTAGATGCAGCCTGTCCTGCAAGCATCCCCATGGAGATCAAGCTCCGCATTGTCATTAGTTTTGTGACTGCTAAAGCAGACAAAACTAAATCAGTTGGGCTGAAATACCCAACTATGGATGACTTCTTCTGGAGATAAAGAGAACTATAAGATAAAGAAAATAAAGATTAGTTTTCAAAGCTGCTCTGAATTTTTCTTTCTGTAAATCATGGTAATCATAGGCTACTTGAAGGTGATTAGAACTATGTCCTCTGCTGGTAGAAGACTGAGAAGGCAAAAAAACCTACATCCACATGGTAATTCCCATACCGTGCTAAACACCGGCTAGTAACCCCTGCCAAGGAATGGGGAATGTTTTAGCTTGTACTGAGCAGCAGAGTAATGAAGTTGCCTGTTTTTCAGCCAGCTTGCAGAAGAAGTGGAGAGAATCGTTGCCTCCTGGCAAAGGCTGGATAAGCAGAGGTGCCTCCTGAACGAGCCACCTGCTCCAGTGCCATGGGCATATCCGATGTGCAGAAGGGCCATATGGGAACGCGTACCTTTCACTGTTACAGCGCCTTATGCAAGAGGACAGAGGAATGTTTCAGAGTACCACAGTGCTGGCTGTGGTCCTCCTTTTCTAAGGTATAACTTGAGAGATGTTAAAATAAGATTTTCCTACCTCTGCTTTGTGTTGCCTGATTCTCATCTCCTAGATCATCTTCTCCTCCATAGGTTCGAATAGGGGATCGGGCATAGGAATGCTTCTGGATAAGGCTCTCCACACTTTCTCTGTGGAAAAAAAAATAAAACAAGATATCATGTCAATAACTTCCTAAACAACCTCCTGTCTGCTTCAGAACATAAGCCAGATGATCACTCAATGACTGACCTAAAGGAGGCACTGGCAATTTGGATCCTCCAATAGGTAAATGATTTGTTAAGCTAAAGCTATTGAATAGGGTGCCTTCTTCCTGTCCTGATAGTCATTTTCTCACATAAATTCTTTCTTCAACATCATTTATTAAACAGCTTACCTCACAGCATGTTGCCAAACTTGGCCTGTGATGTTTTATCACTGCAAATCACTTCTGTACCTGGTACTATCTCTTTAGCAGACAACTTAGAATGAACTTCTAACTGCATTTTGTAAATAGGGTTTCAGGAAGCAAATGTGAGACCAGAAATCCTCACAGATTTAAAGATGCAAGCATAAAACCTATACCTGCCAAGTACTTGTGCCTGGTGGCCAGTCTGAGTTCAAAAGGAGAACTCCCCTTGAGCCAGCTTTTGTGTCACATGTGGCCACCCCATCTGGCACCCTCCCATTCCTCTGAAATGAAGGGCAAGAGATAAATGGATCCAGAGACAGTTCACCTCTAAACATACTCTCTAGACATCAGGGCTTAGGCCAATTCAGAACAGGAAGTCTACAGATACTACAGATCTTGTGCAGTATCTATTCTGAGAGGTTAAAAGTGTCTGCCAGACCCATACCTCCCCAGGGGCATAAAGCCCTATGAAGTCACCCAAACAATTTTTAAATAGAAGAAAGCCATATCTACATGATAAGCCATAGCAGTTTGTAAGGAAGATCCAACCATATATATTCTTAGCATGTTTCCATGTAAGTAGGTGGCATTATACCAAAGATGAATCTGACCTAGGCACATTTCCAAAATGGCTTTGACCTTTTGTTCCCATTTAACAAATATAGGTAGAGATAGCTGTCTAAATCTGCTGCCCAGTGCAAGGCTTGTTTGAACTCTCTGTTTGGCTAGTTGTATTTGCTAAATGCCTTTCACTATGAGAATATGGCTGCTGCAGAAATTCCAAGGAAAAAAAAAAAAAAAACGTTTTCCAAGTAACAGAATAAATCACAGGGGCACATGTTTTCCTTTCCTACAAAAAGCCCATTATAGTCATTTTGTCCTTCGTCTATCACTGGCATCATTACTTATGCTAGTCTCCTCGAAAAAAAAAGTAAATAAAAAGGGGATCTTATCAAAGTGATTTACTTGTGTCAGGATTGGAAGTGGACTGAAAGCAATGGCAGTTCCTACATAGAGGATGATATAATTGAATTACTGCCTTTTAAGTGATTGAAAACAGTAGGCATATCGGGGCTATCTTGAAGAAGATTTTACAAAGAAAAAGACAGATGGCATTGTTTACATTATGCATTGAATGCCTCTTGAAACTTTTTTTTTTTTTGAAGCACAATGTGAAATGCAAAGAACTTTACTTAACTAAAAAGACTGTCTCATATGAGTACAGAATAATGAATTAGACCACTGTTGTCTAAGAGATTTAGATACCAGTCTATAAACACACTCATTGCCAAAGAACTACTAATATTTAAAGGTCTGAAAAATAGATGGGATTCAAGTGATTGTCTATATTGTCTCTATTGACCTTATTTCTACCTTAGGTCTGCTTATAAAAGTCTGCTTATAATGACAGACGTTACAGCACATAATAATATCCTGATGGAACAGAAACAGAAACAGTGCAGGCTCCAGTTCCAGTGCAGCGGTCCAAATTCATCTCTAACCTCACTGGATCCCAAAGAGGATTGGGGATAAACTCACCCTAATAAATTCACATTTGGATTACCTACAGAGATTTAAAACTAAATCAAACACAATTATTGTAGACTAAATTCTTTCCAGATGGGTTTGTATGCTAGACAGAGAACCCTGTTATTCTATATGGTTGTCTTATTTTAAAGAGAGGAGATGACTTTTTAGTGAACCCTGAATCTGAAATGTTTGAAAATAGGAAATTATGCGGTAGGTTTATTTATTTATTTTTAATATTGCCATTTTTCAGGTAGAATGCTAAAGATATTAGAAGATTAGTTTCACACGGCTCAAGAAGCAAAGCTTTTTGTGGCATAGAGAGCAGTTTGAAAGCGGAAATTCAGATCAGGGAAAGCAACCCATTTCAGAAGAGTTTTGTGAGGCCGGGATTTATAATTCAGAACTGTATGTGCTTATATAATCTGATGATGGTTGGTGGTTTAATGTATTATCACAACACACCTACTAATTTTTCATTTTAGAGGTTGAGGCTGTGATTCACATCATGCATGCAAAGCACTCAGATTCACCCCAGGATTTAGGCACCTGGTTTCCACAGCAATATCTATGGCCTTCAGGTGGATAATTTGCTTTCTACATACATGGGCTGCATAGATACCTCCAAACAGACCTGCAAAACACAAAAGACTGAGCAGAACACCACCTCAGCATGCCAAAAGGAAGCAAAGATAAGCCAGAAGTGGTATATTTCCCCCACATATTAAGCTTTAAGTCTGAGTCCTGCCACTAGTTACTGTTCCTTCCATCTAGCAAAGCAGGAGCTCTAGTTTGAACTCAGGTCTTCCTGACCCTGGGCAATGATCTAGCCAGGGAAGCAAAGGGTAACCTGCACTTCCCTCTGTGTCTCAAAGAAATGCAGTGGTGGCCTCAGCCCTGGGTGCAAGTATTTCACACTGGGAGAAGCCCACCCGGAGATCTTGAAGAAGACAGGTTTGCAACTAATCGAGGCTGTGGAAACACGTAGGCTTAGGTGGGAAAGAGGAGCTCAGTCAACATCCTGCACCCTTTGAAGATGGAAGTGCCTCAGGACTTGCTCCAAAGCAGGCCAGTAGGACAAAGTAGAACTTTAACAAGAAGATTTAAGTGCCACTGAAATCTAGTCAATCTGAGGTAGTAGTTTAAAATGTGGGAATAAAGCCAGCAACCTGGAATGTAGGTTTCTGCCTAAACCCTTTTCTCAACCTGAGCCAAAAGGACTTAAGGGTCAAAATCCTACTGAAAATTCTGTTTCTATAAGTGTGATCTAATTAGGATACCCAGAATATAGTGATATCAATACCCTCAAATATTATAACAATAATAATAATAATAATAATAAATTGTGGCTTTATAGATCTTGATACAAAACACCTTCACCAAGTTGATACAACTTATAGCAAGACCACTCATATCTAACCATGTTTCAAATAATTCTGTAGATAATTAAACATATATATATATATAAATGAAAACCAGGAACAAAAATAGGATTTGACGGATATTTTAAAGCTTTCCTTTAATTTCTTCAGACCCCATTCATACTAAAATGGCTGAAAGAGAAATTTACTCAAAGTGCAACTTCTGTTACCCAGGCTGTGATCAGACACTTGTTACCTAATACTTGGACATAATGATTTTTACTTCTCAATGCTCCTTAGAAATCTACAGTGCCTTCTATTAGCAACAATTTAGCAATAAACTTTGTTTTGAGAGATCAAAAGTCGTCAGCTGGCTAGAAGAAATATGTTTTCTTTCTGTCAAATTCTTTTGTGTGGTCTTCCAACCATTTTCAGCCTTTCAGACTGCTTTCAACTCACTGTTATCTTGTAAATACCCAGAGGGGAAAAAAACACACATGCACAGGCATAATTTATTACTATGATTAAGCTGTGTTATATGTACAACCGAATAATAGCAGCAGATGACAGGCTGCAAAAATAGCAAGTTTGGGGCTAAAGCTGTCTGAGACAGGGAAGAAGGAATCATTTGCCAAATGGACAGGAAAAACCTAAGCAGTTATTGGCTAAGAGAAGATGCTGAGGCAGGATAAACATGAGGAAGAGACCATAGGTTGATCCCCGTGCCCTGCATTACGACAGAAGGAAACCTTGAGCCCAACCCTTTTAATAAACCTCTGCTTTTAATAAAGCTACAAAGAAAGTGCTTCTCTCCTTCCTGCAAGAAAGAAACCTGTAAGTCTGGGATGGAGAATCCAAGGAGGTGAAAGATTGGTGGATTATATCATTCAGTAAGCTTTAGGGTACTCAGACAGCTTCTTGCCATTCTCAGATATTAACCCCTGGACTGAATAGTTCAGTCTTGTCTCTGCCAAGAAAGGATTCCAGAGTAAAACTCTCAGCAAAGGATGCTTTCTCCCTCTTGCAAACTGAGTCTTTGGCCTTGTTTAGTAATACTGCCATGCACATACACAGCAGTTTCAGGGGATATAGACAGGAAGACTCTGACATGGCTAATAAATTATTCACTAATACTTTACAAACTAAATGTGAGATCTTGCCATGGTACTGGATGTGAGCTGGGAGACAACAGAAAACACAGAGCTGATTTAGGAAGCAGCTGAGGAACAAGGCCCGGTGGGATGACACTCGCTTCTTCTTGCTGTCAACCTGAAGTTACAAAAATTCCCAAAGGAGATTGTAAAGTCCACGATTACCCTAAGCAGGATCTCCAGTCAAGACGAAAGAACAGTGCTGCTTTGTCTGTGGAAGCAGGCATTTCCTTGATGCTCCTTCAAATCATCTGTAGCCCCTGAGGAGCCTGACTGACACTGAGGAGGGCTCATCTGAGCACAACAGCCCATCAGTATGGAGGCCACGACACTCTTGCGTGCACCAGAGGCTATGGATTTTCCTGGATTTGGTAGTGAGAGCACCCAGAGGTTGGAGACAGGATGTCTACCGTCTCCCTTTGTGCTGAGGAGGAATATTTAGTTCTGCCAAAAGGCATTAGAAAAGCTAATCCAGAACTATCCTGATGGCATTTCCCATCTTAGATCCATGGACCCAAAGACAACAGAGTTGATGTCACGCTAACCATCCATTCCACTGAAAGCCTGGATCGACACCTCTGAAAGTAATGGGCAACAGGCAGTCTGCAGTGAGAAAGAGCAGGTTCCAGGGACAGGCACTCCGTGTTTATATCACTAATGAGTTACTGTCTCAATTAGGAATGACTACAAGGCATACAATT